CCTTTAGTTTCTTTGTTATCTTTAAAGTGGAAAGCCTAAATTAAATCATCTTTATTTTTGTTCACACAATTTTAGATAATAATGCTCGAAACTCAAAGCCTTCGTGCGCAAATAAATGCTCTTGCATCCGAAATTACAAAGGAAAAAAAATTAAGTGGTGCATCGAGTGATAAATGCAAAGCACTCATCAATGAAATGAATAATTTAAGGGCAAAACTCCCTAAGGATGATAAGAAAACAAAGGAAAAGTGTATTGAACCAACCTACTTCGAGTCGCGTCTAGATATGGTCACAAAAATGGGTATTATGGGAAGTGCTTATCCACACAAGTTTGAACAACAATTTACGATCCCTGAATTTAAAAATAAGTATGCACCACAACTGAAGGAGCCCGGTGAAAAAATTAATGAAATTGTTTCTATTACCGGCCGTATTATCACCAAACGTAGTTCAGGATCTAAACTTCATTTTATTAACATTCAAGGGGATATGAGTGTTGTTCAAATTATATCGTCTGTAACAGATTATACTGATCCCGATGAGTTTAACTTGATTCATTCCAGAATTAAGCGTGGGGATATTATTGGTGTTGAGGGGTTCCCATCTCTTTCTAAAACAAATGAATTTTCGTTGAGTGCCACGAAAGTTACACTTTTATCCACATGCTTTCATATGCTTCCTGACGAATACTTTGGATTGAGTTCGATTGAACAGAGATTTCGTCAACGCTACTTGGATCTTATCGCGAATCGAGACAATATAAAAAATTTTATCACTCGCTCAAGAATTATTCAATATATGCGAAAATTCTTTCAAGAACGTAATTTTATTGAGGTTGAAACGCCTGTGCTAAACCAAATAGCTGGTGGTGCGGCTGCACGCCCATTTGTTACTCATCATAACGACCTCAACGAAAAAATGTACCTCCGCATTGCACCTGAGCTCTACTTAAAGGAACTTATTGTAGGCGGGATGGACCGCGTCTTTGAACTCGGAAAGCAATTTCGAAACGAGGGCATCGACTTGACCCACAACCCTGAATTCACGAGTGTTGAAGCATACTGGGCTTACCATGACTATAATGATTGGATGTCTACAACAGAAGATCTTCTTTATAGCCTTGCTATGGAAATTCACGGTTCACCACTTGTAAAATACACTCCAAAAGATTCTGAAGGTAGGCCATTACCTGAATTAACTCTTAATTTTAATAAGCCCTTTAAACGTCTTTACATCATTCCAGAATTAGAACGACGGCTCAACATTTCTTTTGAAACCGTAGATTTTGAAGCCGATGAAACAATCACCTTTCTGATAAATTTATGCAAAAAACATAATATTGAGCCGATTCCTCCATATACCGTACCTCGTCTTTTGGATACGTTAATTGCTGAGTTTTTGGAACCTGAATGTCTTGATCCATGCTTTATCTGTGATCACCCACGTGTTATGTCTCCTTTAGCAAAATGGCACCGCGCTGACACCCGTTTAGGCGAGCGTTTTGAACTTTTTGTCAATAAAAAGGAGCTTGTGAATGCTTATACCGAACTAAACAACCCCATTGTTCAACGAGAAGAGTTTCAGAAACAATTAAGAAATCGTGATAAAGGTGATGATGAATCTATGCAAATTGATGAAAACTTTATTACAGCGCTCGAGTATGGTTTACCTCCAACCGGAGGCTGGGGTCTTGGTATTGATCGGTTGGTAATGCTCTTGACGAGTCAGTCGAATATAAAGGAAGTCTTGCTGTTTCCTGCTATGAAATCTGCCGAAAAGGACACACTCAGCTACCCACCAGGAACCCTACTGAATGGACAAGGGGTTCCCCTTATTTAATAAAATGATGGCAATAGAGTCCAATCATCCAATTGAGGAGAATATGACGACACCGTATTAGTTAAAGGTGTAATAAGTATTAAAGCATTCCAATTGTAATTCGGAAAATTTTACTGATAAAAATATCCACATTTATGAGAATTTTTCCATTTCTATTTGTTTTCCTGATCATTAAAAATTACTACTTAATGGGTATATTCTACTAATTCGTAAAGCTTTACAGTATGTGTATTTCCTCTTGGTAATAAAAATTAATGCAATAGGACACAATTAGAATATGAATCTAAAGTACAGGATAATCTTATTGTGTAAATTACATTTTTATCTTCTGTGTCATTCTTGATAAAAAAATATATATATGAAAAAATATGTCCACATTGTATAACACTTAATTTTAAAATAAATGAATCTTGACAACTTTATAAGAGATGCACAATATAAAAAAAAAAATGTGACTCAAAATTCTAGTTCTCTTATTTACCCGAGAATATAGAGCTTCATGTTTCTTTTTTCTTTCTGAATTAGAGAATATTTTTCATTAGTCTTATATAGAAGAGGTACTATGCTCTTAATAATGAAAACGTATATCCAAATGAAATGTGATCAGCGCGTCTTGTGAATAGGTTCTTGAATGAGCAAAGTATCAGGTGAAGTTTACGTCCAACATAAATAGTGAGTAGAAGTATTTCAATAAGTTAATACAGGGATTGCCGCCATAAGCTGTTTCATATCGAAGGGAAAAAATATTCATAGTCGGGATTACGGGAGATCAGTAGCGAATTCACTACGAATGTTTTTACTTTCAAGGTAAGTAATGAGAAGTACCAGTAACAGATACATATTTTATATCCAAACACAAGTCTGAAAATGGGTGAAGCTCCCGGACAAATTTAAGGAAAACAAACAAACTCCCATAGGAAACGATCTATTGATACACTTTACACTCAAAATTAGCCACTATGATTCAAGTCACAACTGAAGGATTGCGTATAGATGAACTACTTCACAAAATGCACTTGAATGAATTTTGACTGCACTAGATGCGGAAAATAGAGATGATGCAGGTCAACATTTCCTTATAGACTCGAAGTGAATATAGGTTTTGGAATTATTGTGGTAAGGGGAGCACGAGCACGTGATGAACTATACGCTGAAAAAAAAATAGCTGAGTCATGAAAACCGATGAAACAAATTATTCCAGTCATGGATCTCCTATCACAAGGAAGGCTTGATGAATTGAAAACTTATTAGCACAGGCAGTACTACACAAATATGGCAGTATTAGTCTAGGGACGTTTCTGTGGTTATTCATATCGAGGACTTACCTTGCATTGCAGGACCAGGAAGTATCCTACGGCATCTGTTGCAGGAAGTGGTCAATTATTATTCTACATAACAGTCATTGGTACAATTTTTGGGTTAGGGTTGCTTTTTTCAGCTTCCTTACTGAACAATATCATTACTATTCCTGATCCTCTCCCCTCCCCCTCCCCCCCCCCAAAAAAAAAAGGTGACGATAAGCTGCGTATTTTTCAGAAACATAGGAATCTTAACAATAACAGCAGCTTGTATGTACCTGAATTAATATTTGGGGTTTTCTGTCTTTCATCACCTTGTTTAATTTGACATAGAAAAGTATTCACAATATTAGGGCACAAGCAGTGTAAAGTACAGTCTCTTGCGTGTGTTTGTATTCTTATTATTACAAGCATTGATCTTCGACGCATGAAATCCTCGATCAAAAGGACGAAAATGGGCGGGTTAGCCGCCGAAACCTTTGCGGCCTTGGATGCGATGGAGGAAAACATGCGTGAGCTTGGGATTGATCATGAAGGTGCCGAGGATCCCGTGAAAGGGGATTCTATCGCAAACGCCTCCTCCGCCTATTTGAAACGAATCCGCGCCCGAAAAGACGAGCAGCAGAAGTTGCGCGTGGAGCGGGTTTTGCGGGAGTTTCTCGCCGGTTCCCAACTCGGGGAGGCCAACGACCGGCCGGGGCCCGCCGAGTACGGGGGGCGGGAGGTGGCGAATTGCCTCGAGGAGGCCACGGCGCTGCTGCAAACGGAGCGCGCAAGGGCCCATCACGAGGCGGAGCGGCGCCTCGAACGCGAGCTTCAGCATCGTCTGCGATGGGAGCAAATCGAGAAATACCGCGCGCTGGACGCGACCCCCCGGCCGCTCCCAACGGAGGGAGGGGGGGAGAGGGTTCCCTCATGCGTCCTCCCCCCCGCGGTCGACTGCGAGACGGCCGCCCGCGCCGCGAGCGAGGCCTCGGCGGGGAGTTTAGCCCCCCCCGTTGAGCCGGCGGACGGGCACTGTCGGGCAATAGCCCGGGGGTTGGTGGAGTTGGCCGTTTGCGTGTCGAATAATCGCTTTTTAGATGCGGAGGACATCCACGGAAGGCCCGTGCGCCGCCTCGTGCAGGACCTCCCGGTCACGACGTGGCGGACATGGGTGCGGAAGTATCTGTGGGGCCTCCACGACGAGGCGGAACCATGGCGCGCCCATTCCAAACCAGGATGCGAACACCACCTCAGCGACTTGCCCTCCCTTGAGGCAAACTCCCCAAGCGTCGTGGAGTCCCGGTCCCTGCTAAGTTTGAAGCAACGTGGCGAAGAGGGTCTAAACACGGCCCAAACGCATTTGGAGTTCGCAGCGCAGCAGATGGGCAATCATCTCTCCGATATGCAAGGAAAGGCTGTAGAGGAGATCCTGGAAGGTCTGCGAGTGGAAAAGGAACGCCAGCGACGAAGTTTCCTTGACGACATTCGACGACGGTTTGATGAGAGTCAGCGGGCTGCCGAAGACGGAGGGGTGTTGGAGAGCAATGTGGCTACCTCACCAGATGCCTCGAACAGTGCTTCCATTGGGCAAAACTGCGGCCTCCCCATTCGACAAAAGGAAGCGATTCCTGGCTGGATGTACCGCATGCCACCTGCCGGCTGTTTTGTATTTGGTGACGATTTGAGTGGAGTAGGTCTATGTGCTGACAATATTGAAAAGGCCTACACAGCGTCCGTAGCTCATTCTTCTTCTATACGGCGTCCCAGTCAAGCAGGGGGCGTTGCGGAGGAGTTGAATTCGTCCTTCAGCATACACAACACTACTACGCCTTTAGGAAACGTTTCATTTTCGTTTTCAAAGGTCGAGGATGGGTGCCAAAAAATATTTTTGACCCCCCGTATTTTCCAGGCGGCCGGACGATCTCCCCTCACGTCTCGTAATCGTTTGGGGATCAACAACATTTCGAACCTTAAAAACATTTTTAGACGCGCCTCACTTCATGCTTCTGAAGAAGATGACCATCGTGAACTCGACACCACGGCCGAGCAGCTTTGCCATGAGCTCGTTAACACCCACTTACACAATCTGCATGTCCTTACCTCTGGCCTCGTGCCCGCGATTCGGTGGACTCTTGGTTCCCCATACCAATATAAGGAACAGCCCCATGGAGGCACCCCACCCGCTTCACCTCACAGCGAGCCTAACGTGTTGGGCGATCAGATGCCGCCCCTACGCTTCTTGTTTCTGTTCAACTTCCCGAATTCCGCGTCCTTCTATCGCCTTCTGCAGCAGAAAATGCAAGTCGTTCTTGAGTCCGCGGAGCTTTTCGTGCAAGGCGTCATCCAGCGTCAGTACCAGAACAGTTTAGTGGATTCGAACCCCATGTCGAACTTAGCTTCCCCGGCCCTTTTTCGTGGGGCGGGGAACTACGGATCCAATAAGTCGCGGTCCACCTCCCTATCCAATCAAAACGCCTCACAACGATCCAAAGGGGGTCGAGCGGGGAGTGCACGCGGCAAAAGCATCCGAAACCCCACAAGTGTGGTGGTGGTTGATAGCAATCCGAAGGATGACCCCGCCTCCACCCAAGGCCCACTGGTGATTCTCCCGCCCCTCTGTGTTCTGGGTTTTTTTGTGGAGTACACCCTCCCCACACGGCAACGCCGACTACAGGAGGCGTACTTTCACCTCCCGGAGACCCGTGGCGGGCGAAACTCCGATGGGACCATCGACACCGTCTCCTCCACGAACACCGGCGTCTCGTCCCAGCAGGTTTTTCATAGTACCCTTCGCCCGGAGTACCCCTCCACGGGCCTCTCAGCCAAAGAAGGGAATCTGACCTCCCCGGTCCGGGGCGGGCCCGCCTTCCCCAGCGGAAGCCTGACGCAGACGCAGCACCCCAAGGCCGGCCCCTGCACCGCCACCGGCCCCTGCAACGGGGGGGCCAACCCCAAGAAGTCCCGGACGGTCCGCATGGCGAGCTGGAGTGCCGCCTGCCTGCGCCGCGAGCTGCTCGTGGAGGATATGAACATGCGGCGCTGGCAGGAGGACTGGAAAAATGCGTTCGAGCCTACCACCTCCGCGATTGTCCCGGAGCCAACGGTGACGAACAACCTGCAGTCGGGTCGAGGGACTAATCCAAACCCCATGTATGGTCATAGCAAGCAATCGGGAAAAAGGAAACCTACAAACACCTTGCAAAGTCAAAGCGATGCAAGTGGGGCGAACACGTCCCTCCAAAGTGAACATGAAAAGTCCAACCCCGTCCCACAAGGTGTTTCGACTGGGAGCGAATGCGTTAGTAGTGCGGAGGTCGCCGCTACGTCTCTAAATTTCCCACGTGTCCTCTTCTTTTTTCAAAAGGAAGAGGTTGACTTCAACACGACTCCTTTCAAACCTAACTCCAATAGCGGGATGGATGGAACGCTTTGGGAAGAGAGCACAAAATCCCCCGCACACCATATGCCGGAAAATATCGATGAAAAGACAAAATCATCCGAGTATCTGATATCTCGAATAACCGAATCGCTGCGCAACGCATCCCTATCTGACAAACTCTTTACAAATGAGAGCTTATGTCCCCATCAGCTTCCGCCGCCCTTGCGGCTAAGCGATTATCGACTCTCATCATCGGCCTGCGGTGAGCTCGTGCAGGCGCATCGTAATCATTCCACCCGCTCTACGCCTCCACCAGAGCCCGTCACTACTAATGTGGACGAGACCACTCGAATAGATGTGCTTCAAGCTGAGGTTAATGTATTTGGGTGTTTGATGCGCTTTCTGGCGCAACTATTACACCTCCTTAGAGATTCTGCCCTCTTTCGGCTATTATGCTGTGAAAACGTAGACGATGAGATGAAGCAGACAGACATATCAAACTCTACAAAGATATTCGGTAATAGCAAGACGTTATATTACTCTACCGTGGATCGCAGTTTTCAAGGCGATCAAAATATTGTGAACGTTATCGCAAAGGAGTATAGACAAAAATTAGTTGAAGCGTGTTGCGTATGGCTAGGGCGGCAACTTGTCTTGGGTCTGGAGACCATGGCAGGCGGATTGGAAATAATGATTTCGGAACTCAAACGACGCTTCACAGGTTACCTTACGCCAAGTACGACGGAGAAGGAGTCCTGTGCAGCGCCTTCTTTGTTAGTGATGCTTCCCGTACTTGATGGCGGTAGGCTAAATGAACTTATCAGCTACTTGATCCAGGCATCTACTCCTTCTGACGCATCCTGCATCTTCTGGGAGGGCTTGAATGCGTACTTTAAGGACGTCGAAGCTGCTGCTGTGGAGTGTGTGATGGGGTATTTAACGTCTGAGGTTGCGGGAAGGGTTGATAATGATCCTTCCTCCTCGAGCAACCTCCAAGTGGAGCCCTTGAACCGCGCGATGCTGGAGTCCCTCGTGCCAGTAATGGTGAAGAAACTTCTTGCTCACCTCTTTGCCCTTCCACATGTCGACCAGTCTCCAACACGGAGCCCTCCGCCCATGAACTTCTATCACGGTGAGCAAATTGAAGTGTCGTCTTATATTACGCGTTGCGGTGATCTTCTATGCGAGGTTGTGCACTGCTTTAACATAGGTGTCAATAGTTGCCTCGATTGGCTCCAAGGAATGTACCAGGCTGCGATTAATAGGCCGAGCGACGAAACGTGTCCGATTCTGGTGCGGCCTCGTACCGTGCCGGAAATCTTTCTCCCCCCGGCCTCTATCAATAACTACGGTGTTGAAAAAGAGAAAGGGAATGCCTTATCAGGGCTAAACGCATGGACACATCTGAATCTGAAGCTTTTTGTCACTTCCTTTTCCATTTTCGGGCGCCCAATGCTCAAAGAGAACGAATTCCTCTACGCAAATGTTTTGACGCAGCTGGCTCGAATTGAACCTTTGTTACCAAGTGCCAACGACACCCCAAGCGAATCCTGTCTTAAGGATGAAGGGCAAGGAAACGGTGCGGTGATGGAGACGTCAGGTGGCCATTACTGGCTTGATTCCTTTCTTCTTAACGTTAGTTGTCGCGCAAATACAACGACACCATTGAGCTTTCTGTCGCTGGAGGAGATGCAGAATCTCTTCAGGCAAACCTCAAAGATCCCAAGAGAGGATGACATTCCACACTCCGCCGACGGGGGTGGCTTGGAGCCTCAGATCCTTGCCAGTGCTCGGCACTTTATCACCAACCTCGCCCTACGTCGCTGGTGTTTCTGCAATAGTGAGAATCCCAAAACGGGGTCCCCCTGCGCGTCGGTCTCGGCGATTCCAGACCCCACGATGCGGGAGCTGCGTGCGGTGATCCTAACCCTGCCTGCCCAACTCTGCTGCCAGAACCCTGAGGCCGTTCTAAACGGGGAGACTTCAGGGGGTCCGGACCTCAACGGGAAGGCGGCCTGGCAGTCGATGAAGTGGTGGTGGCTGAAGTCCCCGATCACGCCGGCCAATGGCGGCACGGCAAAGCGAAGGGTCTGGACCCTCAAAAATGAGGACCTCCCTTTAATTTTACTCCACCTCCTGCGGTCCGACTTTGTGTTGGCACGTGGGAGGGGCGACGATGGGCATCACGGCCCCGCCTACCCACCCCTGCGGCGAGTTCTTAAGTTTGTGGCTCGAGTCGCTTACTCGAAAATGGCAACCATAGAACGCACCTTCCACACGATTGCTGCCCTGCAGAGCCGTCAGAAGATCGGTTTGCGGAGTATCGACCGGGGATCCATATGCGCCATGGAAGGGGGCTCTAACTCTTCCATGGCAATGGCGGTAGACGATTTGGAGCTGAATGTGGAAACGTTTTGTGAATTCTTTTCAAACGGTCCCGAGGCTACGAAAGCGCCGATGCAGCTTGAGTGTGATGTGCGCCTCATGCTTCAATGGGAAGGGGCACAAAACGTCACACTGCCACTACTTCTGTCCTCGCATTGGGGGCGGCTGGTTTTGGCGAACCATGCCTTGGACTGATATTTTTCCTTGAAAAGGAGGGTGGGGGGATGGTGTATCTAAAAGTGAAGCATACCCCCTGAGTGTCAACCCCGCAAAAGGGTAAATCTCTCACAGTCTTGTTTAAGTTATTTTCTTATTTCTTTTCTCCCCCCAATCCTCGCGGTAGCGAGAATGTATATTAGTGTATTGCAGGGATTCAATCTCTGGAACTATCCAAAGATGTAAGTGTATTGTAACCAACGTGTGCGAATCTAACCAGTATACAGCAATGGGTGTGCATAAGGCTTAACGAAATTTTATTTCTTCTTGTTTTAGTGCTTCCACTCCTATCTTGACGTGTTGGAAGGAGTTTTGCTATTCTGTTTCCCCCTTTATCCTAATACGGTGAACTTTAAGCAGAATATCAGTGTGACTATCTAACGAAGTACGGTAATAAATATCTGTATTTCCGTTTCACCGTGTGTAGTAGTTAAAACCCAAATATACACACACACGCACACACACCAAAAAAAAAAAAGGTAAAAGAAAGTGGTTAGGCAAAGAAAATGGATGGCTTCAAAGATGTATTGCTTAGTCAACATCCAGCGATGTATTCGCAGCCTGCCGATGCCAATATTTACTTAGAAAGCTACAAAGGCATCCTCCTTTGCGATCAACCGACGCTGTCGCAGGGCGGGGGAAGAGATTTCGGACCAAACGACGGCGGTGGTGTCAATCACGACAGGGACTTCGCCCCTTCCAATAGGACTGGCAATCCACTTGGCTTGGGCCCAACCGCGGAATCTCGCGCGCTGCGAGAGCGCAATCAAGCCCTGCGTGCCCAAAACCAGGGCAAGCATCGCACCAAATCGCAGCAAGTGCTCTCTCGGCACCGCCGTTGGCTACGGAGCTTTGCCAAGCAGCTAAAGAACATGCAGCAAGCCGATATAGATCGTGAGGTGGAAGCGGCGCGGCGAGCCGCACGGCTGAAGGAATCGGCGACTCAGCAGCGCGAGATGACGCTCATGGAGAATGGCGACGGCGCGAGCGCTGATCAGCCACCGCAGCCGGCGCCGTACAACCCTAACAAGGCCCTCAATCCGTTCCCGCGCTCATCCCAGAATATCTCGAGTTCGAAGCCTAAACCCACAAAAGGAAAGCCCAAGTGGGCCATGACCGAAGATGAAGCCTTCGAGGCCGAGCTCAACGAGACCAATGATCTGCTCCAATTCGCGAAGAATTTAGATTACGATCGGTTCATTGGTGACTTCGAGGTGGCCGAGGCCCTAGGCGTGATGCGGGACCGAGTCCGGAAGATCGCGCGAGCGAACAACTGGTCCGAAGAGGACATTCAGCACGCCGCGGGCCAGGACGCCGAGGACGACCTTCAGTCCACCGTAGCCCCTTCTGAGGACGAACGGGGCCTCGGGGGGCGCCCGAGTCCGGAAGGGGCGCCCGAGGCCCGCGCCGCCCTCCCCGCCCGCGCGGCGATGCATCAAAAGGAGTGGGACAACAGCACGGGGCGGGTGTTGAAGCGGGCGATCCGCAAGGACGCCCTGCTGCTGGCGGAGCGGCTTCTGGCGACCTCCCCCTCCATGCAGAAGATCCACACCAAACCGAGCCTGGCGCGGGTCCTACAGCGCTGCGCCTTGCAGGGCGAGATCAGCCTGGCGGACGAGTACCTCTTCCTTCGTACCGCGGCCGATATCCGGCATAACGGGAAGAGCGCCAACGAGCTGGTGGGGATGACCCCTGAGGATCTCACCGCCGCGACGGCCATCGGGCCCACCCTTGTGGAGGAGCCCCGGGTCGTCCAGCTGCGCCCCGGGGACGTCACCTCGGGCGACGCCAACGACGGAAGGCAGGTCCGCATCCTGCGAGAGCTACAGCAGTCCAGGGATCGTGTACAAGGGCTTCCTTACCTCTACCGCTGCCCGGCGATCTGATTGGGGGTCAAATCGGGGCCATCTCTTGTCTGGTTTCTGGAACCGACCGCTTGGCGTTTACGTGTTATACATGTATGAAGTATATTCCTTCCAAGGCAGCTGAGACTGCGATAGTGATGATAGGCAGGAGGGAATTAGAGTTGTGTGTGGGGAAGACATATAGGATATCAGGCTATCGGTGATGTGTGAACACTCACACACAATTCTCATATATGTTGTATATTAGATAATATGTTTGCTCGCTTTTACTGATATATTTGGATTTTCCTGGATATCTTCCGTACCTATATATTAGGGTGATTCCTTCTTCGAGATTTATGCTAATATGTGATGTGTTTATATATATATATATATATATCTTGTCTTTTGTGTTATGTAAAGCCAGATGTTGTATTCATCTGTTTAGATTAATAAAAAGTACTCACGATGAGAACTTTTTACGTTATTTCTATGACATAGTTAAAGAATACTTCAATCTATGTTTAGAAGAAATAGAATTTAGGTGATTGCATTCTCTTCTTGTCCATCTGGCACTTTCTATACTTGCATTTGCTCCTTAATCAAAACTAGTCTTTTTATTATATCAGATTTATCTAAAGGAACAAGAGGTTTTAAAGATCGAAAATTGAGTTTACCGTAAAGGGGAAAAAAGTGCAAATAGCTATATAAATAGACTTTGAAAAGTAAAAGATTTAAAACGATCCTAAACGCTGGTTGTTTGTCTTTTATTTTCCCCCGTTAGGATAGCCCAATCGGTCTTAAAATTTTGTGTTTCACCCACACCGCAGCATTATGTTTATCCCTTCAAGTGAATCCAACAGCTTTACTACGTACTCTAACACCTCGGGAGCGCAGCAGCAGCAGCAGCGCGTAAACCCGATTCGACCCCTGACTATTAAACAACTCCTAAATGCCCAAAGTGTTGGGCAAGGTGTGCTCGTTGTAGACGGCCGAGAGGCAACGCAGGCGATCGTTATTGGGCTCATTATCGGTTATGAGAACTCCAACATGACCTCTAAGGCGCTTACCGCGAAGCACTACAGCTATTCCATCACCGACTACACCGGGAAGATATCGGTTCGCCATTGGGTCGATGCGGAGAGCAACGCGGAGTTGCTCCCCCTATTCACC